GTGGCAGGCGGTTGCGCGCAACAATGGAACATACATTAATAACTAATTTTTGACAAATTCTTCTCATTTTGCTAGTCCATGAAAATTCTACATACTTATGAAACGACCTAGTATTCACATCACTCGATGAGGTACTGTGTTTCCGCAGATAGACCTGTCGGACGCCTATCTGCATGTCGAGTTGTCAGAAGAAGTGGAGAAAGTGGTATTGATAAATATGCATGGAGGATTGTAACCAATACAACAGACTGCCTTTGGGATAGAGACAGCACCAGGGATTTTTCAGCAAATCATGAACAAAATGGTGAGCGGATTGCGAGGAGTAGCAACCTAATTGGACGACATATTGGTCTGTGGAAGAACCAAAAGAACGTATGGAGAACTTGTTAGCTGTATTTACAAGGAACGCCGAGCACGGCTTCAGACTTCGTTCAAGATGTGTTCCATTTGATAAGCTAGAAATACGATATCTCGGCTCTATAGTAAATCGAAATGGAAGAAGACCGAACTCGCAGAAGATCGAAGTATCAAGAATATGGACGAGCCGAAGAATTGTTAGACACTTGAGAGCTTTTCTTGGCGTGATAACGTACTGTGCGGCGTTTATGCCAAAGATCAAGGAGTTTCGTGGACCGTTGGATGCGATGCTGAAAAAGGATTCGAAGTGGGAAGACTCGAATACACAAGAAGCATTCGAAAAGCTCAAGGAGACTTCGTCGAATAAGCTAAATCTGCTCACTATAATCCAAGGCAAAACATAGTTGTGACAGCAGATGCGAGTGGTTATGGTATTGGATCTGTGATGTCGCATAGATATGCCGATGAAGCCAAGAAGGTAATTGCATTTGCATCGCGATCTCTTACGCGAAGAAGAACTATTTGCAGATCGAAAATGAAGCGTTAGCAGTTGTCTTCGCAGTCAAGAAATTGCACAAGTGCATATTGGACTAAAGTTCCTACTGTTGACGGAACATTAACCACTGCTAGCCATCTTCGGTGACATGAAGGAAGTCCCAAAACACTTCGCCAACCGACTTATGAGGTAGGCTGCAATTTTGCTTGGCTATGATCTTGACATATATGATGTTAAGACAACGGAATTGTTGGTCATTAGTGCACTTGCGGCCAACTCATGCTAATGGGAAGACTCTGCTGTGTACTAAGCGGTCGCAAATCTGAGGTTTTCAGGAAGCGTCTAGAATTTTCTAGAAAGATAGTGAAAGTGCCACAAAAATTACAAGACAACCTAGTACCTGGTAAAAGTGGTATATATTAAAGCAGCAGGAAAATTTGAATATCTGTGGTAGAAGATTCAATGGATTGGTGAAGTGTCACTATTTGCTCAGTTTTGTTTTCATACTTGAAACCCTTCAACAGAGTATAGACAACAAAGGTTGCATTTACGAAAAATGGTACACAACTTTTTAAGGAAAATCTGAAGTGGTTGTATTCTACTCTTCAGACAGCCAGTTTCTACCAGGTGAGTCAAGATTTTTTTTTGAATGATTAGTAAGAAGACACAGGTCTTCGAAAAGAACTTTCAGAGGGGTAGTTCAATTTGCGTAATCTTCGTGCAGAAAAATCGTAATGCCCTTGATTTAAGTAGAAATAGTACTTTCACACATGGTCCAAGTTTATGACAACAAATGCGATGTAATTAAGAACGTCATTGACTGACAAGGATTTGTTTATTCAAAGTGGCATTTTTAAATGGGATTTGCGAAATAATGGAGAGCATAAGATGCTGATTCCAAAACTGCCTCCCTTATATGCGGAACGTTCATGGATCTGAAGTTATGAGAATTTATTGAAGTAAAAAGAAAAAGTACATCTGGGATAGAATAAGTTGCTAAAACTTCCCTAGCCCATAAATAAAGCAACCAGTTTAGTTTTATTATCTGAAAATATTCATTGAATGCTGCTCCGATAATCATCACTGCCTCATCAAAGCACTAGAAAAATATTACGACTTTTTTGTCCTATTTGCACATGTAATTTTCTGCACTATTAAAGCTTATAACCGGGCTGAGCAAAGGGTCAGGCACAACTCATTTGAAGACCTCCTCCCCTCCTCCCTTCCAAAAAATTCCGAAGGACCTTTTTCACTCATTTTAGTGGCTATACGATGGTTTTTTTTTCTGCGATTACACATTACAAGTACGCGCAATTAAGCGGCGGATTTTGACATGAATGGGCCTATTGAAAGGGCTAAAATTTTCCCAGGGGTGGAGAGGTTCTGCTCCAAATTTTTACTGTGGCAAGGAGATACTATGAGCTCAATACTCATATTGAAAATGGACTGATTTTTGAGTTCTGAAGACAAGTTGAGAGGGTCAGGTGCAAGGTTACAAAAGCCCAGGCTGCCTCACCTTTTAAGGGGTTGCGCCTGACCCCATTAACTTTGGGTCTGAAGAAACTTTTCCACCCAAATCTTATGTGATTCACTAGAACAAATCTCGAGGATTCTACAGTAGGCGTTTCAGCTTCCTCGACTTGTTTCGGATTGGAATGCTCATGGTGTAAAACGCAGTGGTCGAGATTTTGTCAGCACTTTTTAATCTGCCAATTGAAAACGATATGAAGTGAAATTACTAGCAAGGACTGATAGAGTGTATTATTAAGTGTAGAAAAGCTTAATTTTTTATTTTGGAGCCAAGGCCAAGTTAATCATGTTTGAAAATCACGCTTTTTAGACGTT